TAAATCAAATTTTCCCTGTCTCTGGCTTCTCTCTTCCAGTTTCTGCCCCCGACATTAGCGTGCGTCGGTCTCACTCCTTGCATCCTTCTACCGATTAGTTGCTTAGGCATTCTCTCTTCTCCCATTTTAATCATATGATTAAAATCTTGATTTCCATATACTATGTCCTTTCGCTAGCTCTATTCTTCTTAATATATTTCTTTTAAAAATATTCACAGTTTCTGCCAACTTCTGAGTTTACGTTTATGATTCACTACCATACACAGTAAAAAATAATTACATGGTCCAGTACTGGTAATTTATTGCCAAGGATATTCATGTAAAAAGTTACACGTATGTAATAGCAAAAGAAGTACATATCTAAACAAGCGCATTTTCCATTTCTATGTTTGTACTTTTCGTTTGTGATTGATGTAATTTTACTTCTTAACCCAGGTAATGTACACGTATTAATACGTAAAAATGACTATATTTATATGTAAAATTACTTGTGCTATGAATATTGTAGTTCGTCTGCTATGTAATAATTCATTATTCAGCCCTGTACATTTACATAATTTTAAGCTTAAATAAATGTAAAAATATGAATGTCATTATGGAAGTTCTACTTATCCAATTTCGTTTTATGTCCAAATTATGAAAGCCAATAGTTTTTCCACAATTGTTATAATGTTTTACAGTACAAAAGCATTAAAAGAATAGTGAAAAAAGTGTAAACTTTTACAATTTTAACAGACGGCAAACTTGGAACACAAAAACTTTGTGTACAACCTGTATACGTACTAAAGGGCACCAAACAACCAAACACTAAATGGACAGATTAAAGTGGTTTATTATTATTATTATTATAAGAGAGCGCGTATAACGTTCGACGATTCATACGTTATTAGACCGTACTCGGCACAATGATGTCAACGCGTTGTGCGTAGTTGCAACGCTATTCGACCGACTGAATGCAGAAAGTGGTGGTGGGGCCATCCCGTATTTTACATGTTCGTAATAGTAATTTTTAACAATATTACATGATTTCCCAATTTATTAAATACATTTACATTGTTTTACTTGATTTTCCATTTATTTACAGGTTTTTCCTATAGTTTACAATGCTTTGTGTAATTCATATTAAAAAAATGTAATATTTTGTAAATATACTAATTTCCTGTCATTTTACTTGGTATTAACTGGATTTCGTAAATTACGTTGTTAATTTATGTATTATTTCATAAGTCAATCTTGTAGTTTAATGTAATATAATGTATTTTTACATCCATTTTTTACTGTGTAACTTACAATCGGTCAAATGATTGTTTTATATAAGCGTGTTTTAGTATCTCGATGTATATTTCTGGATCTAAATATAGGGGTTAATGCCTATTGACGTCTCCTTCCTCTGCACTGATACTTGATAATTCAACCCCAAAGTATGCAAAAAGTAGCAGCGTTTCTATGTTGTCCGTTTTGCAAGACATATTGGTATTGCCCTTTGTCGGTATTAATTTTTTGTTTGTATTTTCCGTGTTGATTTTGACCCCGACTGTTTTAGGATTATTTTTCAAATTTGGATTACTCATGCCTTTCCATTCTTTAACGCAGTAATTGAACTTATATGTATTGCGTTTATTGCATTTATTTAGTTATTGCTTATTTCTTTGGTATAGTGGTCTGTTGTCTATTTCCAACTCACAAGGGAAGTATCAGAACTGTCCCTCACCGATTTTGTTGAAATTTGGTACAGCGATAGTATGGCTAAAAATAAGGTTTACGTATTTTTTTATACGTGCTAATAAAGCCCCTGGGGCGAGTTATAAGGGTTGGAAATCGGGGCAGAATATATATATTCGCTTATAGGTTGAAAACGAAAATAGCTATCGAAATGTGGTAAATGTAAACTGGTATTCATTTTCAAAGAGCTTTCCATTGATATATATAACACATATATCTGAGGGCTTCAGGGGGTAAACTACCCCTAGTTTTTTGGAATATTTTAAAAACTACCCTATCGATTTTGGCGATATTATGTATCCTTATAGTACGTTTAAAAATATTAATGACGTGTTTTTTCTTATTTGCCTCTGACCATCCCCTGCAAAGTTACGGGGTATGATAGATAACCCCTTTCCTTTAGAATAATGTGATAAACTGTTACACTTTTGAACAATATTTTGAAGAAAACCATTAATTAGATGTAAATTAAGATTTATGCAGTAAAATAAACCCTATACGACATTAAGGGGTGGCTGGGGTTAACTACCCTAACCACCCTAAAAATTATTCTTTTTTGCGAAAATTGTTTGTCGATTTTGGTGCAATTTACCACGATGATTTTTTTATACGTTGGGTAGTACTATTGCAAGAACTTACAAGGGTTAGAAGTTTGGGGTAGAAAATATATTTTCGCTAATAACTTTTTTTATTCAATATATTGTTGGCAATAATGAAAATCATGGAAAAATGTTTTAAACACAACGATTGTTTACACCATACAAAAGTTATAACAGCTATATCTCCACAGATATAGCACGTAGGTTTTTCATTGGAAAAGCAAACATCCACCGGATTTTCAAACTGTTCTGGTCTCTCCTCTATATATCTAGATGCAAACTAGGCGTATTTAAAAACATTAATAAATCGTGGGGGAGACAACTGGTTATGCGTTAAGGATTGCAATTTTAAAATGTTATCTCGCTGATGCAAATTGACATCGTACTGGTAGAGAATAACTTGGTCAGAAAATCTTCTAATGAAATTTTTCCATATTCTAAAACTAAATACATCCAGGGGTTGAATTTGACCTGTTGTCCCTGCAGGTATAGACAAATATTTAAACTTAACATCCGATGGAGTTACTTCACTAATAATTTCAGGGCAGTGGCCACTCCAAGAATCCAGTAATAGTAATGATTTGGGTCCGGTGTTTGGGGAATAGACATTTTGTAGCCAATTTTTCATATGAGCAGAAGTCGGTTTACCAGACTTTGATGTCAAAACGAATATGTTATCTGCTTTGAACATTGTACTTATTACCCTCGCTCCAAACGTACCAGAGGATTCCAACAATGTAAAATAAAATTTTTGATAGTTAACCATTTTTTTTCAATTGCTTTTTAACTCATTATTAATAAATATTTATATAATTATCCTAACTTTTGTGTTATTTAAATAGAATAAGGATAAAAAAGCTAGGTGTACGAAAGTTTTTAGTGAAAATATATTTTCTACCCCAAACTTCTAACCCTTGTAAGTTCTTACAATAGTACTACCTAACGTATAAAAAAATCATGGTGGTAAATTGCACCAAAATCGACAAACAATTTTCGCAAAAAAAAATTTTTTGGGGTGGTTAGGGTAGTTAACCCCAGCCACCCCTTAATGTCGTATAGGGTTTATTTTACTGCGTAAATCTTAATTTACATCTAATAAATAGTTTTCTTCAAAATATTGTTCAAAAGTGGAACAGATTATTACATTATTCTTAAGGAAAGGAGTAATCTATCACACCCCGTAACTTTGCAGAGGATGGTCAGAGGCAAATAAGAAAAAACACGTCATTAATATTTTTAAACGTACTATAAGGACACATAATATCGCCAAAATCGACAGGGTAGTTTTTAAAATATTCCAAAAAACTAGGGGTAGTTTACCCCCTGAAGCCCTCAGATATATGTGTGATATATCAATGGAAAGCACTTTGAAAATGAATATAAGTTTACATTTACCACATTTCGATAGCTATTTTCGTTTTCAGCCTATAAGCGAATATATATATTTCGCCCCGATTTCCAACCCTTATAACTCGCCCCAGGGGCTTCATTAGCACGAATAAAAAAATAAGTAAACCTTATTTTTGGCCATACTATCGCTGTACCAAATTTCAACAAAATCGGTGAGGGACAGTTCTGATACTTCCCTTGTCAGTTTCTATGCTTAATGGATTTTGAATCTCATCACCTACTCTTTCTCCTGTTTCACACCAGGTCCCAATTTTTGCCTCTTCAACTATTCCCAATACCTCCCCAGCTATCTTTCATAGCTGTCTTAGTAATATTCAACTGGTCATCAATCTTCTCTTGTTTCTGTGTGTTTTCCGCTGTACATTATCGTATGGTTTTTATCCCTGATACATTCGCCCAGCCATCTAGTTTCTTGTATGGCTGTAATTGCTAGGTCATATTTTCTTTATTTCATTAAGCAGGCATATTTGCGCTTCTAACTTGTTCAGTTTCCTCACATTCTCTGTTCTAATCTCATGATTCTTTTTGTTTGCCTCGTCGTCTCCATTTTACTCCAGTTCCCGAGGCTATAAATCACCTTCCGTTCTTGTACGCTATATGAATAATTTTTTCCAATTCATCCGTGACACTTCCATCAAGAGCAGAATATATTTTTGTGTGCAGTTTTCTTGACTAAATCGACCAAATAGATCAATTTTGAACATAAATAAGTTGCTATTGGAAGGAGAAATAAATTTGTTTTCGTTGGATCCGATTGAGTATAAAAATATTTAAGGATTTTACTAAAAACCTTTTATCTTTTTAATTATAATTTTTTAACAACTATATCCCCTACTTTACGTTTATGTTGAATTATGATTTATATTGAAGTATTTATCTTGAAAACTTGAGCTGATAGCAAAAACGAACTGTTTTCGAAAATAACATTAAAATAGCTTTTGATACCCTAAATCCTATTATTTTTTTCCATCGTACTTTATCGATATATTTAACATTTCTTATTGTTTTTTTGTATGTGAACTATCTTTCGAAGACAGGTAGAATATTTATAATAAAATAAACATCATCACTCTGTAAAATAATTAAAAGAAAACAAAACTAATTTAAATTTTTATTTCTTATTTTAAATTAACTTAGTATTTTTACTTAGGTAAATATAAATATCACAACAAACAATTCTACTTATTTTCTAAATTCTAAATACTGAGGGCGTTTAAGCGTGTAATCCGGAAAAATTTGCTAATTATAAATGAGTTTCTAGTGTATTTTTTATCCTAAAAGTCCACACGATACGATATTCAAGCATCCCCTAAAATAGTAATTAAAATATTAGTTTGAAATTTATTTGCAATACTTTTAATTTATATAAAAATACCTTCGATATGGAGTGTCGGGTGATTTAATATTTTTCTTGACTCCTTTCTGATTTCTATCCTCCTATAAACAATATAATCCGCGTATAAACATTCAGGGGATTACAAAACCATTAAGTTGAAATAAATCTGTTGTTATTTCGGGGAAAAAGAGATTATGGAAATTATCGTAGGTTAGATAACGATCCAGATGGAGTAAATTATTTGTTTATAAAAATTATATGGTTTGATAAGGAAAGGTAAATATTGGAAATGCAAAGAAAGTTTTATATAAACTTACCATAGCTAATTCTCCTATTTTGTAAGGTTTCAACATATTTTTAGCATCAGTTGAATGCCCGGCATCGTCAAATGCTTTTGTTGATTCTTTTCCACCGTATTCTGTTACTAATTCTGACCCACCAGGATGCTATAAAAGAAATTAATAAAATATTTTCGGTAAACTTTTATTATTACATTCTTACCTCTGTAATATAATCTGAAACATCATAAACTATATTTTTATAAATAATCCAACACTTTGTTCCATTTAATCCTGTATTTTTTGAAATTTCTTCTAAACTGTAGTAGATAACCGCGTTTTCGCTATTATTGTTATTATCACCCATCTTACACAAACTTTTTTTACTAATGTATATTATTATACCTAGTCTAGATAACAATAGATATTTTGAAACAAAAAACAAACTGTTTCTTGTTTAAATAGGACCGCGTTATCGACGATAGAGATATAATTAGTCGATTACGAAGATACATTGAATTTTAATCAAAAAAGTCTTTAATAAAGCGGAGTCTGGATGTAATCTATTTGTGTGATTTTTGCCTGATTGGCAAAAGATAATGGTGCCTAAAATAATTTTGCTTTATACATCTTTCAAATTAAATCTCTGGAGTATTTATTGTAGAAAAGATATAAAAAAATACTATAATCAATGATAAGGTATTTTATTTACTAAAAATATAGAGTAAATTAAATCTATGTTAAATACTTAAAATCCGTTATATTTAATAATAGGGAATCTTACTCACAGAACTTTTCAAGTTCTTTTAAGATTAAAAAGATTAATAGTGCGGTATGGTATGGTAATTGATAAATTCTAGAGTTTTTAATTATGGTAATGTGCGGCACCTTCCATTATATGGGCAAGTAGCACATCCTTATTACTGCACTGAATATATTCAAAATTAATGTCTTGACCAGGAGTTTGTTAAATTAACATTATAGTGGTAATCAGAGTTGCTGGTAATTTAGTTTGGTAAGTGGTTTCTTGTTAAGTTTATCTTCAAGAAGTATTTTTTACTGGTTTTGAATGCACTGATGCTGCGTAACCACTTCCATATCATTATCATTTTTGGGAAGAAAAGTTTGCTGTGTTGGTCGTCAGTTTTAGATTTATTGGGAGAACAGTAAACAGCAGATATTGTTAACTTTCAATCAACGTATACTGTATATTTTCTCTACTGACTTTATTAAGTTCGCAATGCTTTATATATATATTATGAGATATACTCTATCTCTTTCTCCGTAGCACTACAATCCGAGGTGGGACCTCGCTGATTTTGCAATTTGCCTCCATTTCTTGCAGTCCAACATTAGTTCCTCTGGTCGTTCGATATTTAAGGTGCGTACATCTACTGCAATATCATCTCTCCACTGCATCCTCAACTTAACGAGATGTTTATCTTGTTTCCTAACATTGCTGACCCATCTCAATCTTCCTGACATTTTACTTTTACTTTAATAGTAAAAACTAACTTTAATGGTAGGACATACTCCATCTGATATTGATGGTGATGTAAACAAGCTTGACAATGTGGTTTAACAGTGTAGACATGTTGTATCTCACCGTGTAACATGAAAACTTTTGATCTGAATATATCCAAAAATTATAGCGTTTATTCCAACGATTTACTGAAGAGTTGTTTATGTATTGCGAAAATGAACATAACTTCGACCTAATTTTGATTACTGAAAATTACTAAACCTTATACCTAAGTTGTGTAATGATCATAAGGTATAGTGGACAAACCAGCCTTTGAGTAAATATATAAACTTTTTACAACAGATAAATATATATCGCCACGAAACCAATAAGAGAAATTAACTGACTGATTCAGTGATGATATACCTTCTTGAAAATAAACTAGAGCGTATTGCATAGTACTTGAGATGTTAATATGAGATGACTGATAGAACTACAACTAGACTAACATTAGCACCATCACTAGTACTAACAGTATACCTAAAGAAGTCTTGATAAAGTGTTTGATGTTTCAGATGCCATGTTGCAACCTTCTTCAGAAACAAGTTCGAAGTGTTTCTGAAGAAGTTGCAATATCGAGAATGAAGTCTTTGGTATAGAGATGACAAATAAGCGTAGTAATTTAAACTTTTTAGCGACAGTGTTAAAATTACAGCCAGTAAAGACTTTTACTGACGGGCATTTACTAGCAAAAAGGAGATAAGTCCGAATACATAAAAAATGAACATCAATACCTTCTATATTTATTAGATAATTTGATATAATAAATTTGCTTAGTTGTTGGAATTTATCCTGTTCACTTCTACAAAAGCGTTGAGAAAAGCTTTAGGGCCCAAACTTCTTGAAAGTTTTCCTAAATACTTTATAAGTAAATATACTAAAGTCTTTTTTTGATAATTACCTTTACAATATCCCACTTATGCTTGATCTTCTTGGCTGCAACGTTTATGTCACATATATTCTTCTATTAACTTTTTTAATGTGTCAGGAAAAGTAGATGCAGCGACTTTCACATCACATGCTGCTTCTCCACTCTGTGCAATATTGTGCCAGTTCAATCTTCTTTTAAAATGGCAAAACCAACCATTACTGGCTTAAAGGATTTCATCTTCTACCAGAAAACTATTAACGCCGAAAGAAAACATTTACCAAAATTGCTGCAAACAAAAATAGGAAGAGCGAATCTACTCGTTTGTTATTATGATGGTTTTAGGGTTAGTAGGATACAACTTGTTAAAAATTCTTCATAATATACGAGAAGTATTAATCACTTAATTATTATGGAACATCTATAGTTCCATAATTTTGTATGGAGTTGTCACACATAGCCGCATTATATGGCCATTTATTATATTTAAACTTATTTATAAAAGTCATAACTTTTATAAATAAGTTCGCACGTCTCTTGCTTTGGATTGTGGTGCAATCATTTTTGCCGCTTTTATATCAGAAACTCTTATTTTTCTAGCTGTTCAGTATGTTATCGTTTCCAAGAAAGTTGCTTGAAAATAAGAAATAAAATCAACCTGACAGTTGGTATAGCCATAGCGTGAGGTAAACAGCATACAGCGCACACTTGTTAGCTTGTTCTACTCTTCTCTAGTTGCGTCTTCTTGCCAATCTCGTTGATTTTTATAAGATCTTTCTTTTGGTTTGACTTTTGCGACTAATTTAATTTAAATGTCTTTGCTCTGTTCGTAGGTAAGTGTGCATGTCGCGTTGAACTCTCTCTATTTACCTATTTATCTAGTTAAATGAATCATATGCATGGATTTATATCTAAAATATTGAAACATGATGGTTGAATTGATTGCTTGATACCTGATATTGAATTGTTAACGATGAATTTCCTTCCGTGTCTCAACTAAACCATCCTTTTTTAATGACATTATGACTATGTTAGACATTGATTGGAGTTTCTTCTTGTAAATTCTAAGTTCCTGGAGTATATGGTCAAAAATAATTAGCTCTGGTTTACGGATCACACCATAATATTATGTAATAACAAAAATGTAGACCAGTGTATTGCTCTGGATGATATGTTTCTAGGAGTGATCTTGACTACAAACTGAATTTCACGAGATCAATTTGTTTATATGTATATCATAGAATGGATCACGTATATAAAAGTAAACCTTTGAGCTTAAATTAATATTGTCATAATCCGATCCGCAAGTTCTTTTTATGCTACAAGAAGTGGATCAAATCATCATTTTAGGTGAACAAAAAATTAGATTCCCAAAATAATGACTTAAGTTGATAGCCAAAAAATATTGTTCTCTCTCTATGTAGGGTGAATTATAATGTATGGAAAATTCCAGAACCTTCGACCGTATAATTCAATGCTTTTTTCAGCAAGGGAAATCTGAACTTTGATTGATATAGCGATTCAACATTTTCTTTTACATTGAACTACGATAAAATGACTAGATCTTAAATGGTCTTAAAAGGGTTTACTTCTAGGTTACTCATCTTTGCAATCTGTATCAGTGACGTGTGTGTTCTCCTCTTATCTTTACACGTTCACAGCGAATATGGTGTTTTAGTATCACTTTTAGATAAAAAAAATCGTTCTTTTCGCATTTAAACGTGGTTTTATCGATCAAAAGACCATTTTAGTAATTTACAACTTACTACATAAACTTATACACACCTTGGGGAATATTTGACCTAAAATTTGATTATACTTTGTTCTCTACTGATCCAGAATTTCAAGCAAAATTTAATGTGTAATCTTTTTTTTCTATTATTGTGTTCCAAATACAATTCAAATTCGATTCATAAAGATGCACGTATTTCGATAAGATTATTTATTGTTTCAACAATAACAATTATGAAAGTTTATAAAAAACTATCGTTATATGAACGTGAAATTGTTCAAAACAAAGATTTTAATCAGTTCATTTTTCAATGTTACTTTATGTTTACACAGCAATAGGTATTGTTTTTCAAGTCTTAATGTTATCTTAGTTGAGTTAGCTTTTCGATAATCATTATTCGATAAATTCCGAATTTTACTAACTTATCATTGACGCAAAAATAATTAATCACAATCCCGTACGTGACGTTTTATCGTATTTAGATAACCAAATTTTACGTGCAATACATTTTAATTCTAAATTTAGGAATATAAATATTTACAAGTATCTCTTTGAATCATTTGTACGTGCCGTAGATTCGTATTTGTTGATAAAACATTGATAATGTTTTAAATCGTTCATTGATAATGTTAAGCATTAAATCGTCTTTTAATTAGCGTTTGATAATTAGATAAATTTATAACATGAAATAGAATCTCCCCAAAAATAACCAAAACGCCATCAGATTCTTGTTGAAAATACAGAGACAAAGAGAAGTAAAAAAGGAGAATTGAAATGGAAAAGAAACGTCAGTGAACGTACGAGAGTCTCCCGGTGTGACACAAAAAGAGGGTGGACATAAAGCTTAATCGAGGTAAGGGCAAATGTGTCCGACCTCGACAACAACAACTCGTACAAAGGGAAAATATAATCATTGCGGGTGGTAACTGGATGCGATATTTACAAAACGTACAAAGAATTTTAACCGCAAATAAACCCACATAGTTAATTCTTTCATCCTTTTATCTTATCAGGAAAAAGCCAAAAAGATTGATCTAAAAATATTTTGTTTTAATTTAAAAATTGAATATCTTCGATTTTCTGTTGGAATTATTTTTTGTTGGTTGGTAAGTCTTGTAACTAATTTGCAAGTCTGAAATTTTCAATTTACATTAAAATAGGGAAATCAATACGGACATTTTTCGAGCACACGTGGGTGGAAATTTTGATGAATTCAATGAACTTTTTAATGTTAATTTTTCATAT